GCAGCTTTCCACTTCCGGTGGTTCCCTACAAGACGACAGGAGCCATTGGTGAAAAGAGCAAATTGTTTCTCAGTCTCTGGTAGATGATCATATGGTGGAGCTTCTTGAGCATGTCTCACCACTTCTTGTGGTGGCATTCCAAAGTCTGTGCCTTCTGGCCAGTTTGTAATTGCTTCCACAAGACCTGGACAATTAGGTCTTCCTATTCGGGCTCTCTGGGTGATTAAGGCAGTCCATTTACTCCAAGTCACATTGGTGGCATGATGGATAGGAGAAGGTTGTTCTATAGTTCAGTAAACTCAGTTGTCCCTCTCCTCCCCTGGCTGGAGGCAGGGCATCTCTAAGGTTGAGCATTAGAGTTTGATGCACCATCCTGGGTGTTGACTGGTGCAACCTTCTTCTTGGAAGAACCATCTCCTGTCTTACATAGAACTAACACTACAGACTGGGGTACCTGCAAACTGTGCATTTATTTTTACTTCCTTATAGTTGCAGAAAGTAAAGAATAATCTTGAAATGATGCTGTCAACAGCTCAGTTAAAGAATAAACGTCTGGAAGAAGATCTGAAACGGTAATACAATCATTTGGACTTACAAATGCTGTAAGCTTTTTTAGCATACATAGGGGTTTTTTGACTGTCCAGGAAGTCTGCTTATCTGTTGTGCTATTTCTTATGTGCATGTTTTAAAGAGAGCAGCAGTGGTATGATGAACAGCAGAAGATACTAAATACTCTTAATGGAATTGAAGAGGAGACAAAAACTCAAGCTAAAGAACTTTCCAAAACAAGGTATTTCTACAGTGTTGAGGTTTTGTATTGGATAATTTAAATATTAGCAAGAGCAAGTGACCAAACAAACTCTTAAAACATACTCCTTGTTTTGTTAAATAGATTGAATAATAACTCTGCAATCCATATTTGAAACATGGAAATCGTTGCTACTATCTGCTTATATACTGTGACTTAAGATGCTGAACTTGTAACAGTAGAAAACAAGGACACTTTTTACTTAAGAACATTATTGACTGTAATATTGCTATATTTTTATTAGTTTTAGTGGTAGGCTATTATATGAAGTGCAAACTCAAGCACTGAAATTGAAGATGTATAAGGAAGACATTTTGAATGCTCTGGGTGACTTCCTGTCACAACACTTCCCCCATCCAGAGAAAGGCAGAAATGCTAAAAACAGTAAGGTAAGATTTTCTTCACTATTTAATTTGGCATGTTCAATTTCTATTTAGTTAGATGCAATGTCTTCCTAAATTGGCTAGCAAAGAATACGCAGCTATAGTTTGAAATAAGTAAGAGTTCTTACAGCTCATCCTTTAGGTTTTAATTGATGTTTTTTGGGTTGGTTTATATTATCTAAGGCTGTTCCCAGCTGGATATTTTCTTTTGTAATGCATATATCCTTTACCCAGTGAGATGCATAGCACTGTATTGTATTTCTTACTGAACTGCAAGCTGTGTCAAATTTGGAAATGCTGAGGGGTCCACTCTGAGTTTTTCCATTTTCTCTTTTACTGGACTCGGCAAGTGGATTCTTATTTTCCTTGGCAAAGCAAATTTTAATTGTCTAACAATGGGTTTGGAACAATAATGACAAGTGTTTATAATTACAGTGTAGTTTGGAATGTTAACCATCAGTTTCTGTTCAGACAAACTGAGCCAAAGATTATCCTGAAACTTTAGGGAAAACAGGCAGTCAGGGAGTATTTTGCATAATAAATTCAAAGTCTGCAGTAAAAATACACTTCTTGCCATTATGATTTGAAAGAATAGTTACAAAAAAGGCTGTGATTCATTTTTACTTAAGATATGCATAAGAACGCAGAAATAGAAAGGATTTTTTAAATCCAGTTCACTCTTATTTCAGGCAACCACATAAGATAATTTCTGTAATATTCTCATTGAGCTCTATTTTATAACAAATTGTTTTTGTTACTACTGTTTCTCTTAGGTTTGCTGTAGTGTCTCAGTACTCCAGTTAGACTGGAAGTTACTAGACAGTTTCTAAATTTATTAATGTCTAACACAAATCCTTATGTTCTCACACTAGTATTGTCCTTAGAACAAGCACTTTTTCTTGTGTTTATTTCTCCTGGTATGTTTAAAGTTAGCGAACTTATACCTTCTCTTTCTTTGTTTTGCTAACTGAACTAGCAAAGTTTTCTTGTTCTTCTCTTGTAAGATATTTTTTTCCAATTCCTTAGCTTATCCTAATAAATACATTTTCTGTATTTGCTTCTGCTTGGATTAATCTTTTTTGGAACCTGGTAAAAAACAGTATTATAAACAAAACTACTAGCTCACAGTTGCCACAAAAGCAAATGGTTACACTCTTGTCTTATTATTCCTGTTATTTTTCACTGAACTCTGAGCTTTTAATTTTTAAAAAAGTTGGTTTTGCATAGAAGTACATGCTTTGCCCGTAAAAATATCAAATGGAACCTTCAAGGTGTGATGTCCATTTTCAAAGTTTTACTCAACCATCTTAACATGTCCTATTCTGTTTTAGCTCTTCTGCATCTCTGTGGCTTCCAGTTTACTGCTGTTACTAAATACAATACATTTTGTTCCAACACCAAGAAACTAAAGCTTCAGGGATTTAATTAACAGTCATCTTTGTTTCATATTTCTTGATTTCAACCTGATACATTATCTCCCTTTTTGCTGTTTCTTACTTATCTTAAAATTGTTCTAGGACATGGCTCTTCAAACACGAATGACTTTCTCAGATGCATTTTAAGCTATAATCCATTATTTGTGTGAATATATATGTAAAAATTATTTCCTTAAAATACATTTCCTATAATGAGATACACCAATTTATTTGCTCCCTTTAAAGACTAAAAGTGACCTCTGGAGATCTTCCATTCTAACACCATCATCAAGGTGGTGCCAGTGTCAAAGCTGAACAAGTTGCTCCTGGTCATACCATCTGCGTTTTAAATGTGAGAAACAGTAAATTCATGTGTGTATTTTGGATTTCTGAGGAAGATTTTATGTAAAATCCCTGCCCCGCAGCAAAAGCAACTGCTTCACTTTTTTCAGCCACAGTTGTATTGACTGTCAGAAATTCTTGTTACCCTGCCTTCATCTCTCCTTCATGCAATTTTTCTTAATAAAATAAAAAATCACACAAGAAGTTTGGGATTAATCAATCCCTTCTCTCAACTTCTGCCTTTTTACTTTATTTTATTTAACTGTAAAATTTATTTTGATAAATTTCCAAGTAGGTCTTGTTTTGTCTTAGTTTGAATTTTATCTGTGCATTTCCTGAACTCTTAAACACAGTTCATTTTCTGACAAGTCTTTTCTACCCCTCATGAAGTCATAGCTTCTTCTCTATCTTCTTACTCAGGTGGATCTCATTGGCTTAACTGCAGGTCCCCCATAATCTGTATCTAGGCGATTAACTGTGAAGGCAGGGGAGAGTGCCATTTTCACCTATTCAGTTTTCTTTATTGTGCCAGAAATACAAATTGAGGGAATTGGCAATGAATCATAGAATGCCAGGTCAGAAAGGACCTCAAGGATCATCTGGTCCAACGTTTCTAGGTACTACTATAGTTTATATGAGATGGCTTAGCACCCTGTCAAGCTGAGACTTAAAACTAACCACTTCCCTTGGGAGACTATTCCAAGGTTTGAGTGTCCTCAAGGTGAAAAATCTACCTCTTATGTCCAATCAGAATCTCCCTAGGAGCAACTTGTGCCCATTATTCCTTGCCTTTTCCACGTAACTCCCTGTAAATAGGTAGTCTCCATCTTCTTAAAGGGTAGCCACCCTTTAAGTACTGGAACATGGTAATGAAGTCTCCCCAAAGACTTCTCTTCTCAAGGCTGAACAAACTCAGTTTTCTCAGCCTCTCCTCATAGGGCAGGTCCTCCAGTCCTCTGATCATCCTTCTGGCCCTTCTGTGGCCCCTCTCAAGCCTGTCCCATCCTTTTTGTAGAGCAGGGACCAAAACTGAACACGATATTCCAGGCGTGGTCTGACAAGCACCAAGTAGAGCAGGATGATGACTTCTCTATCTCTGCTGATGATGTCCTTGTTGATGCAGCCCAGCATCCTGTTGACTTTCTTTGCTGCTGCAGCTCACTGCTCACTCATTTGAACCTGTTATCCACCAAGACCCCAGCTCCCTTTCCACAGGGCTGCTCTCCAGCCAGGTGGATCCCAGTCTGAACTGTGCTCCTGGTTTATGTGTTCCCAGGTGTAAGACCTTGCACTTCTCCCTGTTGAACTTCATAAGGTTCCTGCTAGCCCACTCCTGCTGCCTGCCTAGGTCATCCTGGAGGGTGACTCTCCCTTCTGGAGTGTCAACCTCTCAGCTCATCTTGGTGTTGTCAGCAAACTTCATCAGGGTGCCTCTGATCCCAACATCCAGCTCACTTATGAAGATATTAAACAGCACTGGGTCCGATATTGATCCCTGGGGGACTTCACTTGTGACTGGTTGCCAGTTTGAGGAGGAACTATTTACTGTCACCCTCTGGTTATGGTCTGTCAGCCAGTTCCCCACCCACTGCACAGACCGCTTGTCAAGGCCATAACAAGTCAGTTTCTCCAGGAGGAGGTTGCAGGGGACTGTGTCAAAGCCTTGGAGAAATCTAGGCAGATGATGTCCACCACAATGAAACTTCCTGCAATATTGATTTGGGGAAACACATTATTCTCATTTAATGTCAGCTTGGTTCAGTGCTCTTGAAGGCACCAAACTCTTTAACTCTGTACATCAATTATTTTCTTCACTTTGTGGAAACTTCTTGTGTTCTCAGTGGTTCTGTGTGAGGGCAGAAGTGTGGGGCTGACATCTACGGCATGACTCCAAAGTAGTATGGAGTGCTCCAAGCCTCAATGTTTTGGTTCCACTATCCTTTTGCCAGGCACCTTCACCTGGGATTGGGAATGGGAGGGAAGACTTGAATCACAAGAAGCCCAAGTTAGCTTCTGCTACCATGGTCCAACACCTTAGCTTAGGTAGTGACTGAGGTAAGAACTATCTTGCATTTAAATATCTGATGAGATTTTTCAAGATAAGAAATAAAAAAATTCCTATGTTGAGGAATATTATTTATGCCAATCTATGTCATGAAAGGAAGAAAAAGGGACCTTTCAGGTTAAATAAATAAATGCTAAGCAGCCTTCTTAAAACTGACTTTCTAAGCATCAATTAGTATTTTTATATTGGTGATATTTAAAATATGTAATGTTACAAAAGAATATACACAAGGTATTTTATAAAACTAGCAAAACAAGTTTGCAAATTCTGGGAGAGTACAAACCTCTTCACACTAATATTCTTAGGATTTTTTCCTTTTGTGTCAGTTTTAATAACTATTGAAGTCATAATTGAATTTCAACTTTTAAACTTAGATAGGTGGTCAGTATTCACATTTCAAAGTAGTATTTTTGGCCAGGGAAGTACAACAGCTGAATTATCTTTATGATTGCTTCTAGGAGGCTTTTGTAGCTTGTTAGATTCTTTTTCCTCAGCCTAGTAGCAAGACAAAAGCACAAAGATGGGCATTATTGAGCCCTAGCTCCTCAGTTAGGAAGAGTTCCATGGAGCAGACAGTGTCTCCCCCTTGTGGCTTTCTGAAGGTGAGAAGAACTGTGGCTGGAAAAACGGAGCCAGAACTTGCCTTTGAAAAATTTTTCTTTATTGTTTGTAGTCTTCTTCTGTTCTCCACTTCTGAAGTGGAGCTTGTATAAGGTGCTGCATATCTATTAAAATCTTAGGTCTGAAATTAACAGATGCAACAGCAGTGCTGCGTAAGCAGCCATCAGTGCTGTATTGTCCTCCTGTATTTTGTTGAATGTGAATTGGAAGGGCAAAAGGGATAAAACTGAAGAATAAAACATTTGGGGTTAACTATGCAACAGCACGAGCAGTTTTATTGGCATTGTTGCCTAAGGAATCCGTATCAGTTTATAGGCACACTGCTGGCTCACATTCAGCTGGCTGTCAGCCAACATCCCCAGGTCCTTTTCAGAGCAGCTCTCCAACCATTCTTCCCCAAGCCTGTAGCATTGCCTGGGGTTGTTATGACCACAATGCAGGACCTGGCACCTGGCCTTATTTTAACCTCATGCTATTGGCCTTGGCCCTGGCCCATTGATCCAGCCTGTCCAGGTCCCTCTGCAGAGCCTTCCCACCCACTCCCCCCCAGTTTGGTGTCTTCTGCAAACCTACTGAGGGTGCACTCAATCCCCTCATCCAGATCATCGATAAAGATGTTGAACAAGGTTGACTTTAAAACTGAGCCCTGAGGAACACCACTGGTGACTGGCCACCAACTAGATTTGACCCCATTTACCACAACTCTCTGGGCAACCCAGCCAGTTTTGTACCCAGTGAAGTGTACACTTGTCTGTGCCATGATTCTCCAGCTTCTCCAGGAGAATGCTGAGGGAGACTGTGCCAAAGGCCTTACCAAAGTCCAAGTAGAAAACATCCACAGCCTTCCCCTCATCCAAAACGTGGGTCACATGGTCATAGGAAGAGAGCAGGTGGGTCAAGCAAGACCTTCTTTTCATAAACCCATGCTGGCTGGTTCTGATCCCGTGGCTGCCCCGCGCTTGCTGTGTGAGCTCAATCCAGATGAGCCTCTCCACGGTCTTTCCCAGTACCAAGGTCAGGCTGACAGGTCAGTAGTTCCCCAGATCCTCCTTCCAGCCCTTCTTGTAGATGGGTGTCACATTAGCCACCCTCCAGTCATTCAGGACCTCCCCTGGTGATCAGGATTGTGGATCAATGATGAATAGATGCTCAGCAAAATCCCCTGCCAGCTCCCTGGGTACTCTTGGGTGAGTCCCATCCGGCCCCATAGACCTGTGAGTGTTCAGATGTAGAAGCAGATCATTAACTACTTCCTCCTGGATCATGGGGGGGTTGTTCTGCTCTCCATCCTTATCTTCCAGCTCAGGAGGCTGAACACCCTGGGGGAAGCTGTTCTGACTATTAAAGACAGAGTCAAAGAAGGCATTAAGTATCTCGGCCTCTTCCTCATGCCTGCAATGTCCCCTGCCATATCCCGTAAGGGATGGAGATTCTTCCTGGCTCTTTTTTAATTGTTTTATTTATTTTTATAATTTTACTTTTATTATTTTCATTTTGTACCCAATCATATTCATAGAATGTTTTGCATTGTACTACACTTATAAATATGATGTACTTTTATTTAAATGTAAAACTGGGTAGATATACTATGCTCAGGTAAGATTAATATTTTATAATAATTAATTTCTTAAAATATTACATTTGAAGTGTAATAATATTGAACTGGTATATGAATGATTTAAGTACTACCTTGTGGGTTTTTTTCTTGACTAAATCTAAGTCAAAGTGTTCGTCTGTTGTGTTCTATGCCATCAAATAATTGTGTGACTATGTGATTATTTTTCTTTGTTGATATATTTTTGTCAAATATTTTTCCTGACAATACAGTTTTGGCTGGGGGGGTGGTTACCTTTGCAGATTGCTTCTGAACAGCCAGATGTAGAGCTGATAACACTGCAGGAACTTTTAGAGGTAAGATTGTTTGGTTTTGTTGAGATTTGGGGGGGTTTCCAATACTCAGATTTTATAATTTTATATTAATAAAATAAATAACAGTATAAAACGTACAGTTAAGATTGTTAAGTGGAAAAATAGCAAGTTTTAAGTGTTATATCAGATTTCTATTTTCATTCCTCTAAAATTAAAACCCCACTTTTTTACAAGAGATGTGGCAATAATTTAGATAACTAACTCTTCAGTTTAGGGCAGAGAATGATTATTCCTAGTTTTATGAGCTTCAGTGGCTCATATTAATGGAGAAAAACTTTATGCTTACCAAACATGTAAATTGCTCTATTTCCTGCTATTTTTTGTACTGTTTCAATAAAAGTATTTCTGAAATATATAGTTACAGAAGGATCAACTAATGTATAGTCTTATTTATTAACTGGATTATTTTCTCATGGGATTAGATCAATTAACCTGATTCATACTTTTCTAACTGATTTTGTAAGTATGCCAGCATTGCTTAATGTATATTTTTAATCACTATGCAGTTTATGAATTTGTATAATTTTGAAGAAGTATTAAAAAGCTTTTCATTAGCGTTGTTCCTTCTTGTCTTAAATGTGGTATTTGAAGTGAAATTCTCACTCTTCCTCCATCCTTACTGTTCAGGCAGTTGTCAGCATCGGCGTAAGACCTCACTGGGGGGTAATTTTTTTTTTTCTAAGGGAGAATTTGATGAATAACAACTTTCTTGTATTAAGATGCTGTGATCTGGTCACCATGACATTGTTGTACTTTACTTTAAAGCCCAGACTTTAGGCTTATATAATCAAAATTATTTTACATGCTTTGAGTATCTCAGCATGCCCACTCATGCCAAATTATGCAGAGTTTGCAAACAGATGATAATTTAAAATAACCACATTCCCTATGGAATTCAAATTGTAAAGCTCTTCCAATGCTTTAAAATTGCTCTTCATGTTTTTCTGACATTTCTAATCTCAAAATGTGAACACATCCAACTAATGTCTCATTTCCACTTGGAAGAACAAGAACTCAGACTTATTTTTAATTTTAACTATCTTGGCATAAAGTATCAAATTCCCTTATCTTTGTTTTATGGGATTTTTTGTTGTTGTTGAGCAACTTGATTCTAGCTTCAAGCATCTGTTAAATTTCAAGTGTTTTCTTAGATACACATAACAGTTTCTTAAAGAAACAAATGCAAAGTTGCCTTTTATTATAATTGCAGATTTAAGATTTGCAGTTACAAAAATGTAATTAATTCACAGAATTGCAATCAGTGCATCTGTTCTTAACCATGTCTGTTGAACCTCAGTGTGTTTTGTTAAATAATTAAAGTGTACATTTCTGATAAATCAACTTTGACAAGCAAAGTGTATACACTTATATTTAGGTATATCAGTAGCTATTTAATTAAATTAGTATAAGAAGTAAGCAAGCAGTAAACTTTTCTCATGCAAAACCTCAGGTTTTTTATTATGCTACTTTACTTTAAAGCTTATTTTGGAATATCAGATGTCAAAAAAGACCAAGTAACAATCTGAAATAACACATTTTGAGTAAATATTCACAATTTGGGCAGACAAGTACAAAAGGCTTATACTGGAATAAATCTTCAGAATGCTCTGAAAAAAGAAAAGAGAGAGTTTTTGGGGTTTTGTTTATTTTTTAGCAGTGGGTGAAAAAATAGTAAAGTCTGCTAGTGAGGATTTTGAGGGTTTTTTTAGCAGTAAAGATGCGGCCAGAATGCTGAAATTAGGAAAGCTATAAAATTTAGAAGCTCTGATAGGAAGATTAAATAATCTGGGATGAGTAGAGAGAGCACAATGGGATGGGTAAGATTATTTCTTCTCTAATATCTGCAGTATTCACTGTTGATGATGGCATAATCACGGTCTCCAAGAACATTAAAAAAAAAGTCAACATTTATATTTGTTTTTAACTCTGTAAATCTATATTTGGATAAGGAACAAAGGAGTTAAATGTTGTACGGTCCTTGTTCTGCCCAAACAAGAAGTGCTATTACAAATTTGGATAATCCATTTGCGAGATGAGCATAAATATTTTATTTGGAAATGTAGTGAACTTAAACTAGGACTATGGTGTTTAACTTTTCACCAGTGCAAACTTAATTATATCTAGCACTACCTACAGAAGGACATAGAACACAAGAAAGGTAATTCTTCTCAATCTAAGAGGACAGGTTTGGCTTTTTTTAGCTTATTATTGGATGAAATTTAGAAAAAAATTAAGGTGGACATTGTCCTCTGCTAAAATCTGAAAAAGTGAGGGACAGTGATTTGTTGGCAGTAGGTCATGGTTTTGAGGCAAGTGATTTCCAAAAATCTACCTTTCCCTCTTATTTAGTACTTTTCATCTTAAATTAACAGATACTGATTTAAAGATTAATTATATAAGGATTTATCGCTTTCATGTTCAGAGTTTTTAGGCACAGTAGGCACGGAGTTTTTAGTTACACAGTATAAAATCAACTAAGAATTTTTACAGATGGTGAAAAAATTCATCTGGAAAAAAAGGAGAATTCTGGTTTTAATTTTTACGTTTAAAAAAATTAATTAATTCAAGGTTCTTCATTTTACTTCTACCTTGATCTGGTCTTGTTTCTCCTGTAGTCTTGTATTTCTTCTATTACCTACATAAGTGTCGTATTGTGATAATTTTTGTAAATTTAGTTAAAGGAGAAAAAATAATCTAGCTATTCTCGTAGTTTCCTAAGTCTTATCCTTTTGGTCTTCTAGATTCTTATAAACAAATTAATGAGCACACCACATGAACCCTACATAGCAATCAAGGACTCATTTTGGCCACCTTATATTGAGCTGCTGCTGCGATATGGAATCGCCACGAGACATCCAGAAGATCCAAACAGAATACGCCTGGAAGCCTTTTACATGTAGTGTGGCGTACACACTTACTTTATAACAAAAAGAACCAGTACTGTTCCTAAGATACACTTGGGAAAAAATCTTATTAAACAAATCAGCACCCTCTTTTTTGCTGAATGTTTTTTAAAGTTGCTTTACTGTGATGCAAATATAGGTAATAGACAAAGTAAAGATGTTTAGCAGTCCTTTTAAATTTTAAAATGTTCTATACATTACTCCTCTCTTTTATGTTAATGCCCTAAATTGCTTTTGCTCTTTTCAGTTTCCTTTAGTATTTTGCTGTTCTGTAGAGGCAAAGTTTTAAGTAACTCAGGCATCCTGTACATTGCGGTGCAGATACTTGGAACTAACAGTGAAGCAGCATCTCAAGGATGTGCTTCGGTTTTTTCCAGAGCCTTTGCAAACAAATGTATTTGTTTTAAGATAAACACTTAGGAAGTCTGACACATCTTTCTCTACAAAGGGCTGCAGATGTTGACTGTGCTGCTCTACAGCCGTATGCTTCCTAAACAGCTCATATTGTTTTATGCTGTATTGTCCAACAGTATCTTTGCTTTGATCTAATTTATCAAGGTTTATAGCAGATCTCTGCTCTCTTGATTTTGTACAGTTTCTAAATTGTCAATTGAGTTACCTTCTGAATAAATGAGTTATCCTAACCAGCTTTTCTATGACCCCTATCATTGTAGTCCATGTATTGTAGTCTTGCATATCTGTAGGGACTATAACCTTGGAAAACAAGCCTTTTACTAACCAGACTTGAGTTTATTTAAGTAGGATCTTCAATAATTGTTACATTATCAAGAAAATGAAGGGTTGTCTAGAATTGCTGAATGGTTTGGTTTGGAAGAGACCTTTAAAATTATCTAGTTCTGATGGCCCTGCCATGGGGAGGGACACCTCCCACTAGATCAGGCTGCTCAGAGCCCAATCCAACCAGGCCTTGGAACACTTCCAGGGAAGGGGCATCCACAACATACCTGGGCAAACTGTTCCAGTGTCTCACCAGCCTCACACTAAAGAATTTCCTGTAATTATCTAGCCTGAATTTCCACTCTTCGAGTTTCATACTCCTTGTCCTATCACTATGTTCCCTGATAAAATCTCCCCCAGCTTTCCTTAGGCCCCCTTCAGGTACTGGGAGGCTGCTACAAGGTCTCTCCGGAGCCTTTTCTTCTGGCTAAACACCCCCAACTCTATCAGTTCCTCACAGGAGAGGTGTTCCAGCTCTCTGATAATTTTTGTGGCCCTCCTCTGGACCTGTTCCAACAGCTCCATGTCTTGTGCTGAGGGCTCCAGGATAGGATACAGTACTCCTGGTAGGGTCTCGTCTGGGCAAAGTAGAAGGAGAGAATCACCTCCTTTGACTAGATGACCATGCTTTCTTAGGTGTAGCCCAGGATACAGTTGGCTTTCTGGGCTGTGAGTGCACATTGCCAGCTCTTGTCCAGCTTTTCATCCACCTTCTCAGGGTTGCTCTCAATCCCTTCATCCTCTGCTGATACCAGGAGTTGTCCCGATGCATGTGCAGGACCTTGCATGCTAGGGCCTTGTTGAATTTTCTGAGGTTCACGTGGGCCCACTCTCAAGCCTGTCAAGGTCTGTGGATGGCATCCCTTCCCTCTGGAGTATCAACTGCAGTGCTCAGATTGGTGTCATCTGCAAACTTGCTGAGGGTGCCCTTGATCCCACTGTCTGTCCCTGACAACAATGTTAATGCTCGTTCCAATACAGACTCCTGAGGGGTACCACTCGTGACTGGTCACCACTTGTCACTGGTCTCCCCCCATCACTGATCTGCACTCAGACATGGAGCAGTTGACCACAACTCTTCAGAATGTGACCATCCAACCTTATGCACCTGTCCAGTCCATGTGTCTCCAGTTTAAGATAAATGGATGTTGGATACTGATACAGTATCTAATGCTTTGTACAAGTCCAGGTAGATTACATCAGTTGCTCTTCCCTTATCGGCTAACACTGTAACCCCCATCATAGAAGGCCACCAAATTTGTCAGGCATGATTTGCCTTTAATGAGGCTATGTTGGCTGTCACCAGCCACCACTGTTTTCCATTGCCTTAGCATAGCTTTCCAGGAGGATCTGCTCAATGATCTTTCCAGCACTGAGATGAGACTGACTGGCCTGTCATTATCCAGCTCTACCTTTTTAAAAAAATGTTTCCCCTTTTCCAGTCTGTCATAATTGTCTGTTTTAGCCCTTCTAAATGTTAAGAAAAAAAAAAAAAAAAAAAAGTGGTTTTGAGTAAATGCTGTTAATTTTGTCCATGTAACTGGTGATTAGGCATGAGTATAGACTAACTGTTTGCTGTAGTGCATGAACAATGACTTTTTTTTCTTGGTACTGCTTGATCAACTGCCCTCCATTATTCAAAGTCTTGCTGTAATGTGTGACTAATCTATACACATTTAGTTTACAGTATTTTCAATTAAGTATTCGAATAGCTACATTTCTTGACTTTGCTTTCTAGCACTGTCTTGTTAGATTTTTTTTTCTTTATTTTTAAATCCGTTGCGTTCTGCTATCCTTTCACCTTACGCATGCTTCACCTGGATGCATGCTTCTGTGGTGACTTTGGTAAGGTGAAGAAAAAAATGTTAAATTCTAAGAAGCTTCTCTAGTTTTAAAAAGAAAAAAAAACACAACAATCAACCCATGCTGCCTCACGCCACCCCTCCCCCACCAAAGACAACCAACCAAAACCACTGAGAGGAGATAAGATAGTCTACAAGTGAGTGCTCTAGTGAAGGTGCAATTTTTGTTGTTTTTCATAACACAAAATCAAGTCTCATCCAAGTAACTTATTAGAATATATTGAAAAGAAAGCACTCTATATAAAGCTTTATATTAAATTAAATAACTCACTGACTGAAAATGTGTTATAACACTCAAATACAATTGAAAAAAACCAACATCCTGGCTTGTAGAATTTAGATTCATGAGTGGTTATTAAAGTGGCAGTCAGCTGTTTCAGAATTTCCTATCCTGCTAATTGTTGGACCACGAGAAGATATACATAAATACTCCTTGAGACCCTCCTGGAGGGGCTCAGTATCTTATTGCATTCCAGAAAGCATTCCAGTTTAGGCCTAGGACACAATCAGAACCCAAAGCTTCAACACAGAGCTTATTTCTTAGGCTCAGTTAAGTTACTTCTTACTGCAAAAGAGAAGCTGCATAAAGAGGTAATCCATTTTCTCTCATGGTGTAAAATGGTCTTGGTGGATTGGTTTAAGGGAAATTTGTAGAGTAGGAATGACGGTTGGACTCGGTGATTCCAAGGGTCTTTTCCAACTTGAATAGTTCTGTGATTCTATGATTCTATGAAAATGCATTATCAGTTTTTAAGGGAAACTGGTTCAGACTGAAAAAGAGCTGGCTGGTAGATGTAGCGCCTAGAAAAATCCTGGCAAGTAAATGGAAGATTAAGGCAGTAATGAAGAACAGATCTTCCTTACGAGAAAAGCCTGGAATATGATCTTCCATCAGTAGTATAAACTACTACTACTTTGGTTCCTGCAGTGTGTGGAAAATTACTTCCTGACACAGCTTGTGAGGGAGCCAACTAGGGAAGGTGCTCCACTGGACGTACAGCTTGTGAACAAAAGACTTGTGGGTGATGTAACAGTAGGAGCTGTCTTGGGCATAGTGTTTATAAATGATAGAGTTTCAATTCTTGGAAAAATAGAGTGGGATTGGCAAAACTGCCACCCTGGACTTCCAGAGGGCAGACTGTACTGTTCTGGAGACTGATTGAAACAGTCCCCTGGGAGACAGTCCTGAAGGACAAAGGAGTCCAGAAAGGCTGGTGCCCTTGCAGAAGGAAATCTTAAAGGCACAGGTAACAGGCCTTGTGCTGAAAGAGGAGCCAGGGGGTAGTAAAACCAGCCTGGCTGAGCAGAGAGCTTTGGTTGGAACTCAGGAGAAAAAGGAGCATTCATGGCCTTTGCAAGAAGAGACAGGCAACTCAGGGGGACTACAAAGATGTTGTTAAGCTATGCAGGGAGAAAATCAGAAGAGCCAAAGCCCAACTAGGCCTTAACATGGCTACAATAAAAGTGTTTCTATACACATACAAGCAGTACAAGGAGGGCTAAGGGAATGCCCATCCCTGACTGGATGCAGGGGGAAAGACAGTGACACAGGATGAGGAAAATGCTGAGGTACTTGATCCTTTCTTTGCCTCAGTCTTTAGTAGCAGAACCGGTTGCTCTTGGGGTACTGACCCCTGAACTGGAAGACAGAGACAGGGAGCAGAATGGAGCACCCATAACCCAAGGGGAAATGGTCAGTGACCCAATACACCTCTTAGACATACACAAGTCTATGGGTCCAGATGGAATCCAAACAAGCATATCAAGGAAGGTGGCAGAAGTGCTCACCAAGCCACCTGCCATCATCTGTTGACAGTCCTGGCTAACCAGAGAGGTCCCTGTTGGCCAGAGATTGGAAGATGTGATGCCCATCTACAGGGGCTGGAAGGAGGATCTGGGGAACTGCAAACCTGTCAGTCTAAGCTTGGCACTGGGAAAGGCCAGGAAGGTGATGGAGCAGATCATCCTGAGTGCCATCACATGGCACATACAAGATAATCAGGTGATCAGGCCCAGCCAGCGTGGGTTTATGAGAGGCAGGTTCTGCTTTACTCATCTGATCTCCTCCTATGACAAGGTCACCCACTTAGTGGATGAGGGAAAGGCCATGGATATTGTCTACCCAGACTTCAGTAAAGCCTTGGACACTGTTTGACCCAGCATTCTCCTGGAGCAGCTGGCTGCTCATGGCTTGGACAGGTGTGTCCTTCACTGGGTAAGAAACTGGCTGGATGGCCAGGCCCAAGAGGCTGTGGAGAAGGGAGTCAGATCCAGCTGGCAGACGGTCACCAGTGGTGCTCCCCAGGGCTCAGTACTGGGGCCAGTTCTCTTCATCAGTGAGGTGGACAAGGGGATTAAGTGCACCCTCAGTAAGTCTGCAGATGACACCAACTGGGT